CAATGTGACCAAATGAGTTGGTTACGGGATGATGCATTACGGAACGAGTAAAGAGACTTGCCGGTAACGAGATTGAACTAGGTATTGGATACCGACGATCAAATCTCGGGCAAGTAACATACCGATGACAAAGGGAACAACGTATGTTGTTATGCGGTTTGACCGATAAAGATCTTCGTAGAATATGTAGGAACCAATATGGGCATCCAGGTTCCGCTATTGGTTATTGACCGAGAATAGTTCTAAGTCATGTCTACATAGTTCTCGAACTCGTAGGGTCCGCACGCTTAACGTTACGATGACAGTTTTATTATGAGTTTATAAGTTTTGATGTACCGAAGTTTGTTCGAAGTCCCGGATGTGATCACGGATGTAACGAGGAGTCTCGAAATGGTCGAGACATAAAGATCGATATATTGGAAGCCTATATTTGGACATCGGAATCGTTCCGGGTGAAATCGGCATTTTACCGGAGTACCGGGAGGTTACCGGAACCCCCCGGGGGGTTATTGGGCCTACATGGGCCTCGAGGGAGAAGAGGGAAGGAGGCAGGAGGGGGCCGCGCGCCCCTCCCCTTCCTAGTCCGAATAGGACAAGGGAAGGGGGGCGGCGCCCCCCCTTTCCTTCCCCTCTTCCTCCTCTTTCCCCCCTTCTCCTATTCCAACTAGGAAAGAAGGGAGTCCTACTCCTGGTGGGAGTAGGACTCCCCCCTTGGCGCACCCTCCTTGGCCGGACGCCTCCTCCCCCTGGCTCGTTTATATACGGGGGTGGGGGGCACCCCATAGACACACAAGTTGATCTACGGATCGTTCCTTAGCCGTGTGCGGTGCCCCCTTCCACCATATTCCACCTCGGTCATATCGTCGCGGAGTTTAGTCGAAGCCCTGCGCCGGTAGAGCATCATCATCGTCACCACGCCGTCGTGCTGACGAAACTCATCCCCAAAGCTTTGCTGGATCGGAGCATGGGGATCGTCATCGAGCTGAACGTGTGCTGAACTCGGAGGTGCCGTACGTTCGGTACTTGGATCGGTCGGATCGTGAAGACGTACGACTACATCAACCGCGTTGTCGTAACGCTTCCGCTTACGGTCTACGAGGGTACGTGGACAACACTCTCCCCTCTCGTTGCTATGCCATCACCATCATCTTGCGTGCACGTAGGAATTTTTTTTGAAATTACTACGTTCCCCAACACATACAACTAATAGTCCCGCCGCGACTGTGCATCGCACCAGAACATGCTCTTTAAACGGCCCTCCTTATCGAGCACGTACTCAAAGAAGAAGTCTGGATCCTTATCCTTTCCGCTCCTCATAATACCGATTGCCGTGTTAGCATCACCCTTCACAATCAACTTCATTTTTTCACGGCAACATAGGTTGTAGACGTCTCGTCTCAGAAACCCACACTTATCGTACGAACCATACCTGCTAATGAAGTTGTCGACGATGATATGCTTTCTGATCCCAGCTCCTTTCGTCGCCAAGATCTCAGCTATCTGGTGATCTCCCATCACTCTATGTGACCGCAGAAATACCACCTCATCTGCTCTAGCCAACAAATGGTTGTGATCATCCATAAAAGTTGCCACGAATCAAACTCCACGTCCTTTGTCCAACTTCACAACTAAATGTGCGCCACACTCGCAACGAGTCTCAGGTCTTAGCCTGTGGGTACGGCCATTCGGGTTTAAAAATTTACTCAGTCGTTTTCCTGCCCTCGAGCAAATGTACCGCCTATACCGAATTGTGGTTAAAAGAACTTTTCCTCGTTTCACCTTATCTTTTCTGATACTGAATCAACGGTCTTTGACGTAGTTATTGTAGAACGTGTAAGCCTCCCATTGTGATGCAAAGCTCATACCCATAACCTTCAACTGTGTCTCCAACGCATGTTGCTGGATTTCAGCCTCCTCAATGTCCATATTAGTTGCATCCTCATGCTCATAGCCATCATCACCACTCCAACCATCAAAGTTAGCCTACAATATTAAACATAAGCAAGTGTAAGTTGTTATTAACAAGTTTTTATTATTGTATGACATCTAAAGTTTGGACCGAACCTGACTTATGTTATCCGTGAAAGATTCAACACCATGATTTTCCTCGTTTCAGACGTCAATATCCTCCTGCACATAAAAAATCATATGCACATGTAAATACCCATATGGTTCTTCGTCCGACGAAATGAATGTACACGTCACTTACGTTTTCACTACCAGCACCCTCCTCCTTCTTTTGAAAATCCTCCTCAGGTAAATTATCGTACGACGACCAGGATTCATTATCGCTGCTATCATCATCATTTTTACTTTCATTACCATTCGTACGATCAACACTATCACTACCATACCACTCATTCGTCTCCAAGAACGCATCCGTAAATTCAGTTTCTTTATCCATTGAATGACCTCACTACCAACACTGCAACATTTAAAATAAAAATTGATCTATTAATTTAAAATCAAATTAAATGTACTACAGGCATACCGATGAATAGTTCATAACAAACAAGTGATTGCAGATAATTATTTGCAGCTACAATTTTTTTTGACAAACTAGACGGCTTAGATGACAAACCTAGCACTGCGGACGGCGAGGACGTTCCCGGAGAGGTTGATCACGCCGTTGCGGACGACGACGGCGTCCGCGTAGGCCACGTCACCGCGACGACCTGCACGGAGGCCAGATCGCGTACGGCGGCGACTCCAACAACGTCCACAGCGGCCAGATCCCGGGTGAAGACAAGGAGAATGGTCGCCGAACGGCGGGGAAAGGCGGCGATCGGCCGGACGGGGAGATGTTGGAATTGGCAGCGTGATCGCAGCTAGATCGGCGGGGAAGGGCGGCGATCGGCCAGACAGGGCGATGTTGGAATGGGCCGCGTGATCAACGCTAGGTCGTGGGTCCTTTTTTTTCACGTGACGGAAGGGGGTAGATGCGAGCCGACCGTATCGGCTCAAGCCGTGCGCTCGGCTATACCTGTATGGGCACGCCGCATACGGCATGGGATATTTTAAGCACAGTATGCCCAAAATGCCTTATACGTTGAGCGCGCGGGGCGAGGGTTGGTACCAAAGCAAGGGTATGTGAACAATGATGAAAAGTGGATAATGAGAATGAGATGTATCTAAAGAGAAATTTGCTTTATTTTAGAATTCTGCGACGAAATCATAAATTCCCTACCATTTATACCGCCCAGAAATAAAGAATAAACCCTCTACCATTTATACCGCCCAGAAATAAAGAATAAACCCTCTCCATTCTATTTAAAGCTCAAGTATCTCGATGTGGAGCACCCCTCACGCATCTCGATGGCTTGAGGGTGCCGCATCACCTCCTGAAGAACCGACGGAGTATAATACAGAGCGCTGTAACAAATGGTTATATGTGGACGCCATATTAACCACATAAATATTACCCAAACGCTAGTGAACGTTGACATAATCCCACATAAGGACTAGTTGGTGCGGGCAAGTCCCACAATGCCCAACAATCTATCCATTTGCATCCTGATACGCCATTGTGAAGATGAATATAGTGTACCCCATTGCGATAATCATGCTGCATTTGCATAACTGGTTTGAAGGGTAGCAGGTGGAGACGAAGAACACAAAGACGTCACATGCGTTTGTGAATTTGTCACCAAACCAACAAGTTTCTTTCTGCGGGTAAAACTTGCATTACTCAATGTAGTTGAGCCGCTTCTGAAGCACCAGACCCAAGCCGGTCGTAGTTCTGCCCTCTAAACAAGAGGAGTTATTACAAGAACGACTAGCATGAGTAATCTTGTTCGACATAAGGCAACAAGAAATGCAAATTATTCAATAGCAATTCTGTCACTCCACCATATGCAGGCAAAAGGCGAAACAAGGGCACAATTCAATGCAAGAATCTGCAGACAAACAACAGCAGCACAGGTATTGGCAAGATATCAAGGGCTCACTTACTGATCCCCTAAAAAAACATTAGTATCTCTCACTTGTACTCCTCCGTCTGGAGTATCCATTTCTCGACCCTCAAAAAACATGGGCAACGAATCCATCTCAATCGCCACCATGAAGGCATGATCTGTCTAGAGCACAGATATCAATTAGGGGAGAACCGAAGTCATAATACAAGAAGCTGCTAAGCTTCCAAACCGAAACAAGCAAGCAAACACCATGATCGAAATTTGCCTACTGCTAAACGACGAGAGCGGCAACCAAAAGACATTCGACTATTTACCATGGTGACTAGCCGCCAAAAGACACTATTTTTTTAAAACACCAAAAGACACTATTTAACATTGTGTGTTGCAGACTCAGGGCTAGTTTGGTTCGTTACCTAGGCTCCATGCCTGGGTCAAAGTAGTGCCTGGCGTGCGCCTGGAAATTTGAGAGAAATTGCCTGGCCAGGCTAGCCTGGCTGTATGGCGTTTGGTGTGTGTCCGCTGCCTGGCCGGCTGTTAACTACTCATAAATAAATGTTCACTCTTGAGCCAACCAAACAGTACCGCATGCAGTATAATTAATGTCCAGGCACGAGCCAGGCGTCCGAATACTTGCGCCTGCGTGAGGCTAACAAACTTGCCTGGCGCTCCAACCAGGCTAATGACCATGATATTTCAGGCCAGGCTACTGTTTCCTTTCCCAGGATGCTATCCAAACAACCTCCAGGCTAGTCCCAGGCAGGCTCCAGGCCAGGCAGTTTTCTTCCAGGTATCCAACCAAACTGACCCTCAACCATGGTGAATCTGTCCTGCAAACTCCACCATGCCGACGAGAGCTCCATGGCCCAGCAGCTGCCTACTGCGTCATCATGTACCAGAGATGAACATAAATAAAACAGAGCAGAACCACAGATGAACTAAAATAAAACAGAGTAAGAAAAGATCAAGAGTAGGGAAGCACCAAATTTAAACGAGAAGCTCTAAGCTTCAAGGGTTCCAAAACAACAAGCAAACATCATGATCCATCATGTCCTTCAGACCAACGACTCCAACGAACCACTACTACTACTACTTCCAGCTACTAGATGACACGACGACAGACGACTGACACCACCGAGCGGCATCGAAAGGACACCCATCAAGCAACGCGCAGACCGGAGACCACCACGGAACAACAAAAGCTTAGTCCACCTCCTCGATCTTGGGGCCGGCGCCACCGCCGCCGGCCGGCATGTCCTCGTCCATGCCCATGCCGCCGCCCATGTCCGGCGCAGCGCCCTGGTACATCTTGGCGATGATGGGGTTGCAGATGCCCTCCAGCTCCTTCATCTTGTCCTCGAACTCGTCGGCCTCGGCGAGCTGGTTGGCGTCCAGCCAGCTGATGGTGCCCTCGATCGCGTCCTCCACCTTCTTCTTGTCGTCCGCCCCGAGCTTCGAGGCGATCTTGTCGTCCTTGACCGTGTTGCGCATGTTGTAGGCGTAGTTCTCCAGCGCGTTCTTGGCGTCCACCTTCTTCTTGTGCTCCTCGTCCTCCGCCTTGTACCTCTCCGCCTCCTGCACCATCTTCTCGATCTCCTCCTTGCTCAGCCGCCCCTTGTCGTTGGTGATGGTGATCTTGTTCTTCTGCCCCGTCGTCTTGTCCTCTGCCGACACGTTCAGGATGCCGTTGGCGTCGATGTCGAAGCACACCGTGATCTGGGGCACGCCGCGGGGAGCCGGCGGGATGCCCGACAGCTCGAACTTGCCCAGGAGGTTGTTGTCCTTGGTCCTGGCGCGCTCGCCCTCGTACACCTGGATCAGGACGCCCGGCTGGTTGTCCGAGTAGGTGGAGAAGACCTGCTCCTTCTTGGTGGGGATGGTGGTGTTCCTCGGGATGAGCGTCGTCATGACGCCGCCGGCGGTCTCCAGACCCAGGGACAGCGGCGTCACATCGAGCAGCAGCAGGTCCTGCACCTTCTCGTTGCCCTCGCCGCTCAGGATGGCGGCCTGGACGGAGGCGCCATACGCCACTGCCTCGTCAGGGTTGATGCTCTTGCACAGCTCCTTGCCGTTGAAGAAGTCCTGCAGCAACTGCTGCACCTTGGGGATACGGGTGGAGCCACCGACCAGCACCACGTCGTGCACGGTGCTCTTGTCCATCTTGGCGTCGCGGAGGCACTTCTCCACCGGCTCCATGCACTTGCGGAAGAGGTCCATGTTGAGCTCCTCAAAGCGAGCCCGGGTGATGGTGGTGTAGAAGTCCACACCCTCGTACAGCGAGTCGATCTCGATGGTGGTCTGGGCCGTCGACGACAGCGTGCGCTTGGCACGTTCGCACGCCGTCCGGAGACGACGCAGAGCGCGGGGGTTGCCGGTGATGTCCTTCTTGTGCTTGCGCTTGAACTCCTGGACGAAGTGGTTCACCATGCGGTTGTCGAAGTCCTCTCCACCCAGGTGAGTGTCACCGGCGGTGGCCTTCACCTCGAAGATGCCCTCCTCGATGGTCAGCAGAGACACATCGAAGGTGCCACCACCAAGGTCAAAGATGAGGACGTTCTTCTCGCCAGTGCTGGTCGCCTTCTTGTCAAGGCCATAGGCGATGGCAGCAGCAGTGGGCTCGTTGATGATGCGCAGCACGTTCAGCCCGGCGATAGCACCGGCGTCCTTGGTGGCCTGGCGCTGGGAGTCGTTGAAGTAGGCCGGGACGGTGACCACGGCGTTCTTGACAGAGTTGCCGAGGAAGGCCTCAGCAATCTCCCTCATCTTGATGAGCACCATGGAGGAGATCTCCTCCGCTGCGAACTGTTTCACCTCGCCCTTGTAGTTGACGACGATCATGGGCTTGTCTGCCGGGCCAGGGATGACCTTGAAGGGCCACAGCTTCATGTCACTCTGCACGGAGGGATCAGAGAACCTCCTGCCAATCAGCCGCTTCGCATCTGCAACCGGAAACAGAGGAACAGAACATTTGAGTTGCATGGTTCAGCAATGAACTGAAATGAAGCAGAACATTTCAAGATTCCACAGAGATTAATAATCCAAGCAAGCTGTTTCTTCAGAACAAGGAGGTGCATTCAGTAAGCTACTGCAGACTGGGACTGTTCCAGAAGGATAACCGAGAACAGAAATTTAAAATTAACAAGCATAATTTCAATCCTAAGGTAGCTTGCGAGTTGCGAACATAATTCAAACTGAAACTTCTGAACGATTTAATTTCAGGATGTAACGATACAGCGAAACCCTAAGGTAGCCTGACGACATAATTCAAGTAGCCTTTTCTGGAGGATGTATAACTTGAAAATCTAGTTCTACAGTAGAACTAATTTTCATCTACAGCATCCCAACTTAATTATATCCCTCCATTCTGAAGGATCCACTACTGAACCATGCAAAACAAACAACTGAGTACCTTCAGAACAAAAAAATTACAGCATTTCGAACAGTATAAAACAAAGAGCAGCCATGCCAATAAAATAACAATAAATTCTGTGATACATCAGAGAAACAAGGGACTGCAGCACAGATTCGACAGCAGTTACATCTAATTTAAATAAGACTAGATCTATAGCGTATTTTCAATCATAAGGTAGGATCCCAACTTAATTCAAGCCATCCATTCCTAAGGATCTAATTTGACAATCTAACATAGAACAGATCTCACATACAAGGGACTACAGCATGCCAAACAACAGAGAATAAAACATGCAGATATGAAGGAATAATAAATCTGTAATTAATCTCAGAGACAAGGCACTGCATGACGAATTCGACAGCAGCCGCATCCGACTATTCAGAACAAATCATATCACATCGTGCGGGTAAGAACAGAACAGGGACCGCACGCAACCACGGAGATCTCATCTAACAGACGATGCATGATACACAGCGGGTCAAGAGGGAGGGAGGGAGGGTGGCACGTACCGAAGACGGTGTTGGTGGGGTTCATGGCGACCTGGTTCTTGGCGGCGTCGCCGATGAGGCGCTCGGTGTCGGTGAAGGCGACGTAGGAGGGCGTGGTGCGGTTGCCCTGGTCGTTGGCGATGATCTCGACGCGGTCATGCTGCCACACGCCGACGCAGGAGTAGGTCGTCCCGAGGTCGATGCCGATCGCCGGCCCCTCGCCCTTGGCCATCTCCGCCTCCTCTCCTCTCCTTGGAATCGCTCGCTCGCTTTGGGGGTTCGCCGGAAGACGGTAACGGCGGCGCTCTCTGTGTTTCGCCTGGTGCGATTTGCTTTGCCTCTCTTCTCTCTGATTTCGATTTCGAACGGAAGTGGGGAGGGAGGGCCGGCGACGGGAGGGTTTTATGGCGGAGGCGGCCGGGTCTGGAATGTTCCGGCGCGTGCGATCCTGGCCGTCGGATCGGGGGAGGGGTGATGGTTCTGGAAGGGTCCGGAGTGTGCGGGGTTGGGTGGCCCACGCGCGGGCGCTTCTGGTGGTGGTGCTGGTAGGTTCTACAATGTGCACGAGCATGGTAGGCTACTGTGGAGAGACGGTGGGAGGAGCACGTGTCGGGTGGATAGCACGCGCGGAAGGAAAAAACTTAGGATTCTACAGTTTTTTTTTATCATCATCGTCCTAGTCCTAGCCTTCTGCCTGCCTTGCCCTGCACGGGTACTTGGGCTAGGCCTAGTCTCGGCCCACGCGTGTTAGTACATGTCTATACTCTCTGTGCGTTCGCGAAAAAATAAGAATCTCTGATGCTAGCAACTTCCGCCTCATGGTCGGTCATTCACGTACACCCCACGCGCCACGACCTCGTCCTCTCTATCTTCCCAAATTCCCTGAACCGGGTTCTACCATTTTCCATTGTTTTGCCTTACGGTTAATTTCTTCGTTTTCCCATTTCTTCACGATTTGTTCCTTTATTTAACTTTTTTCAAAATCATAAAAAAAAGAAAAAATCTAAAAAAAACTATTCATGATTTACGAACAATTAAAAAATGTGAACTTTTAGAATATAGCAGTAGTTTTTGAAATACCTGACACTTTTTGAAAGCCATGAATATTTGTTTTCCAAAATGATGAACAGTCTTCAAATTTGTGAGCAGCTTCCGAATCTTCAAACACTTCTTCAATGGACGAACATTTTTTGAAATCATGGATTTTTTTAATCAGCGAACATATTTTAAAATTTAGGAAATTTGAAATTTTCAAAAATGTAAAATGATCATGAATATTTTTGAATTCGTAATATTGTTATGAATCTACAAACATTTTTTGTAAGTCATGAATAAATATTGAATCGGTGAACATTTTTTGAAATTTGGAACAATATTTAAAATTCTTAAACATTTTTATATCGAATTCATGTATTTTAAATTTCACGGTCATTTTTTCAATTTAAAAATATTTTAATAGAAAGTAGGTCGAAATCAAACAAACTGACAACAAAACCAGATTTCCTTTTAAATGTTGAAAAACCAATCTTTGTTTTCAACCTTGATCTGGTACTCTGACGGAGGGGGGATCCATCGCCATCTCCTCAACCCCGATTCTCGTGCTCCAAGATGAGTTGTGAATAGTACACCCTTTGGATTACGGGTTTATGGCAATAGCCATTGATGTAAGATCTCCATTTAGATGCATTCTTGTTGACCAATACAACAACTACATGAGTTGTCACAAATGATTGTAGTTTACTATATGAGTTTGTGATCGTGTCGTAGATCATGTGATGGATTAACTCTATATGTTTTACATTTGTTAATGATCCATGTTTGATATACATATGCATATTCTTTCTGCTTATTTGTTTATGCTTGACCAGTTTAGATCGGTAGACAATAGTGAAAGTGGTGTGCATCAGATGTGTTCAAGTCATGTAGATCATCTACCATAGTTACAGTACAAGGAAACAGTGGGACGAGCGCGGGTGGATGGATAGGACGCGCTGAACGAAAAAAAATCTATGATTTTGTAGTAGTATTTTAATCATCAGATCATCCTTAGCATTACGCCTGCCTTTGTCTTGCACGGGTAATTGGGCCAGGCCTAGTCTCGGCCCACGTATGTCAGTACATGTCGTTCTCTCAGAAAATAATCAATACGCTCGCGAGAGCAACTAGTTGAGGAGCGCTCTTTCGAGATCCTCCCAATAATCACATGGGGTGGGCTAAGAGCGCGCTCCCAGCTGCTGTCACATTCGCACTCTGAAACCTATCAACGGTGCAAAAGGTTTGAGATTTAAACGCACGGTTTAAAAGATAAAATATTTTGAATAAACAGATCTACCAAAAAAGAGGAAACTCTCAGATTGCGACAAGTGGCACACTTGGGAGGCAGAAGTGATCTTTAGAAGGAATACTTCTTAATTAGTGATTTCGTGCGATAGCAACTTCCAACCTCATCTAGGCAAGGCGATCCTATTCCCTGCATAGTTTTTTTTAGAATATTCCCAGCATAGGCCGGGGAATAGCGATCAATCGTGTACCCCCCGTGCGCTCATCTTCTGTATGTTCCCAAATTCCACGAACCAGACTTTTTTCCTTTCCCTTTGTTTATTTATTTATTCTTACGGTTTTTTATTTTGGGTTTATCTTTTTCTTTTATGCTTTCTTTTATTTTTTATTTCCTTTCGTGTTTCTCTTCTTTTTTAAAATTCAAGATTTTTTTAAATTCATGGAAACAAGTTTCAATTCATATTTTTTTTGGAAAACCACGAGCAATTTTCAATTTCAGGAGCATTTTCTAAAAGATGCGAATATTTTTCTAACATGAGAACAATTTAAAAAAAATCAAACTCTTGAACATTTTTTAAAGATATGAACATTTTTACAAAGATAGAAACTTTTTTTTGAATTTGTGAACAGTTTTTGGATCATTGAACATTTTTTCAAATGATGGACATTTTTTTAAATTTGGGAATGATTTTGGAAATTCGTTAATATTTTTTAAGTTAGAGAACACGTTATGAAATTTGGGAATAATTGTTGAAATTCGTGGACATTTTTAAAATTTATGTGCATTTCCCTAATTCATGACTAATTTTGAAATCATGGAAAAAATTAATTTCAATAATCTTTTTTGAAATTCCAAAACAAAATCAATTCATGATTGAATTTGTGAACATTTTTCGAATAGGCGATCATTTTTTAAATACAGGGCAATTTTTAAAATTTTTGATGATTTTTTAATTCAGTCTTTTTAATTTCGTGAGCATTTTTGAATTTATAAAGATTTTAATAGAAAGTTGGCCGAAATCTAAAAAACTAACAGAGACCCCATTTCTTCAAAAAACACCAGAAAACCAATCACAATAGAAAACATCATGCAAGCTTGGGAGGGCTACTTGTCCTAGTTGGGCTAGCCCCAATCAGCATTGCGGGATGGGAGGGTGCGTATTTCCTTGCTACTCCCCCTGTAGGTCGGGGAATAGGAGGTCCCTCTAGGCATTTACGTTGCTTCACTGGTTCTTTGGGGTGTCGGCGATTTTGTCTACTCGGTTCAATTCAAATAATATAATAAATCGGAAATAAGGGGATTTGGCTCGTATAGTAGAGAAAAAATAGGAGATAAATGGATTTAAGGAGAATGGTCCTGATATAAAATATAACACTGTATGCACGCGAATCAAGCTTGTGGATGAACATGAGAATTACATAATAGTGTGAAAAACAAAAGCAACTGTAAGGTGCCACTCCTTTTCTTTTTTGAATTGTCTCATCTTTCAAGGATGGTTTTACACCTCCAAAATAGCCTTTCCGCACAATAAAAGTACTAATTCAATTTGGTATTTTTGCTATTTTACAAAAGAGAACCGAATAAGTTTCAATTTCAGTGCTGAAGAGTAATTTCATGAGAGCACCTCAAATGGATTGTACATTTGAATTGTGGGCAAAATAGTCATGTCATCAACCAACAACTCATCATGCAACTATATCCTCTATAACACTAAACTCCATAATTTTAAAGCGCTCACAATCAAAGTGTCACGCGATTTTGACCGGGTCAACAATTTGTCAAAACTCTCTCACTCAATTCTTTTATACTATACAATACACTTCCTTATTTTTAAGGCCTCACAACTGATTGAGGTCTTCAATTTAAATTTGAGTCACTCAAGTTGACCGGGTCAACAATTTCTCAAGAAGTTCTCCAATTCAACTATTTTAATTCACTATTGTTTCCTAATTTTGAAGCTCTTCAATACGATTGAGGTACTCAATTATGGATTTGATTTAAGATTTTGATTGGACCAATCATTTTTTAAATCAATCAGCGGCAACCCCCTATAAAAACATATCAATCTCACGCACCCTCCTACCTCCTAGAAAAAAGTAACGCCACGATGTGATACCGTACCACCAATATAGTACATGCAGCTACCGACACATAAATTTCCCTACATAAATATGGGTTTCTTAATGGATAACACAAAATCACATCGGGAAAGGCCCACCAAATCATCGAATTTTATAAAAAACACAAACTCCATCATCTCCCTACCCCGCCAAACTAACTATTCCATCAATTCCAAAATATGAGGGTATTAGTTTTTTGAAAAGTCAAATTTCTTTAACTTTTGATCAAGTTTAGAGTAAAAAATGTCAACATCCACAATATTATAAACAAAAAATAATATGAGAATTCATTTCATGATGAATCTAATTATACTGATTTGGTATTATGAAGTTTGATATATTTCTTTACAAATTTGTTGAAACTTAAAAATATTTGACTTTAAAAAAGTGTAATACAACTTATATTTAAAACGTAGTGAGTAATGTTTCTAAGAAACCCAACAATGCCAATGGCGCAACAAAGCGCGCCCAACCCTCCTAGTTTCTATCTAAATCATGCAACTGAAAATAGAAAGCAATAGTTGATGCACATGTGCATATAATCTTGCTCTCCCATGTAACCAATCAAGAATACTAATTACATCTGAAAGATTATCTCTGAAAGAAATAGTAATACAATCTCTCTATCTAAATGCAATAAACTTCTTACGTTTAGTCACAAGACGGAGTACTAATTAATACCACGATGACTGACTGAATAGGTTCGTGTCATAATTTTCGTGCGCCAGGTTTAATCAGTCTGTGCGATTTGCGGCACTGCGCTTCTTCCTCACCACCGTCGCACCGCCCGCCAAGTGCATGCCGGAGTGGTTCTTGCTTTTGGCGCTATTT